TGAAAATATATGATTATATGCGCTCAATATATTGGTCATAAATCTTGATAATTTAGACACAATCTCTCAGAATAGTAGAGATTATTCACTTAATTAAGTTTAATATTGGCCTGAAATACATTAATGACATTTTTAAAACACGTATTAAATTCTGTGCCTAAATTGAATTTTGCAAAAATCAATTCCTCATTAAATTAATTTAATATAAAATATAACACAAAATAGTACTACATATAAAAGAATATGCCATTGCATTGTAAAATTTGACAACTGATAAATAATAATAAAATTAAATGAAAGTTTTACAATGCATTTACTGTTTACCGTCGATTACCGACAAGGAATTAGAGACAACAATGAAATGGTAGTCAAACTAAACTTAGCGCTCATTTATAAAAAATGATCGCATCGTAACACCTGATGGGTGCCGATCGACAACAGATTCACTGGCATTAATATGCAGTCAAGACAACCCATGCGATAATGGATTGTCAATCATTGTGTTCAATATTTCAGACAAATTTTAGGATTCAAAGTGCAATTTTAATGACAAAAACTAGATATCAATGATAACGTAGACATCGCTTCGGCCGACCTTCTCGTGGATTTGCATATTTGAAAACGTTATGGCTTTCACTTCTGTCCCCTATTCAGAGGTTATGAAACAAATCAGTAATCAGTGAAATGAACGCAACAATTGTGTCAACAATTCAAATGTTGGTTAGGCTTATGGATGAGGAGGTATGAGGTGTTGCCAACAGTGTTGACAATAGGGGTAACAAACCTGTGGGTGTTTATCGAGATTGAATGTCTCGCCATAACCTCTGGCTTTGATAGTATGGGACTCTCTGTCAAACTCTAAGATTTTCACTTTCTATGCAATCAAATGGATTCAAATGAATGGCAATTAACGCAAAATGAATGACACATTGAGTGAGTGTTTCAAACCCGGGCTATAAAGAAGGGTTCGGCAGAGAAGCCAAAGAGGAATTCGTCTAAGAATTGATAAAACAGTGAATGCAAGTCATGTCCGGAGCACTCGATGTCTATCGTGTCTACAGTCGAGTCCACGGNTCTCTCTCTCTCTCTCTCTCTCTCTCTCTCTCTCTCACTCACTCACTCACTCAAACTGAAAGCAGAGAACAGTTTGTGTAAAATTTTGACTTAAAAATGAAGGATTCATATGAAGTGATACTTTAAAGAGACTAAAAATAAAAAGTAACGCTTCATATGATGCGAGAAATTAACTGATTTTACGAATGAAAAAAGTCACTGAATATACAGTTATATTCTCCGCTCTTTTCTTTCAACGCATACAACAAAATAAAAGCCTTTTTAAAAACTCAATTCAATGGAGTTTTTGTCAAATTGTTTGACATAATTCCCAAATTTATAAATCGATAAAAAACATTATACATTGTATGGCAGACAACACAACACACACTATCTCTAATGTATTTAAATATTTGGGTCGAAAAGTGATATACATTTGAAAATTATAGACTCAATGCACTCATCGTTTAGAAACTCATAATACGATGAGATTTAATGGATTTAAATAAAAAGAAAATTCATTAATTTTTTTTTGTTTCGTTAAAAATGAAAAAACTGTCGGTCGGAGTGGAGAAATAAATACAGTATAAAACATACTGTGTTTCAAATTTAAATGAATTGTCTTTTAGTCTCTCTATCCGATGAAATACATGCACTTTAAGAGCATATGTTGACTACTAATGACAGCTAAGTTTCTCAAAGGATTATACAATAGTATCGGCAATATATGTGAGACAATGAGTTGTCTTTAATGAATGACTTCTCTTTCAAATATACTTTAATGTAATGTATATTTAATATAATATATGATATTTAATACAAAATTGCAATAAAAAATATTAAAATATAGATAATACACAATATAATGGATATATAGGTATTAAAATTACAGATATTTCTTAACAATAATACAATTCCTTATGTAATAAAAGTTTTATTATTAAATATTAGTTATATATTAAAAGTGGACATAAAATTCATAAAATAATGCTATAATTAATTATTTTAATTAATTAAAAAATAATAAAACATATGCTATATTAAGGCAAACATTATATACAAGAATTCAATTCAATTTTAATAACATTTAAGTGAAATATTTATTGCTTTGATTATAATCTCACACATTATACAGGATTTAATAAATACTTATTTATTACTATTATATTTGCCGACAAATGCACTAAACATTCAATTGTAATAAATATACATTAATTATAATTATATTACATTAAAATTAATGTAAATTTTTGAATGAAATTTAAATGAAAATCAAAGCAATAGTTGTATTGTTTTAATTGAATAATGAAATGAACCGTTGATTTGAATACAAGACATGTCTTAAGACAAGTGGACACGAAATGTGTGGATAATTGTGTGATTTGTTGGCCATTAAAGTGATAAGTGATGTATAGATGTATTGATATATCGATAATAACAGTAATAATAGTAATAATAATATTAAATATAATACTAATTGTGTTTTGACTTACGTTTAGATGAAATGAATTCATTCATAGGTTTTCAATGTTTAGTAAAATATATAATAAAAATAAATATCAAATACTGTTGTAATGAATGGTATAAAGAGTTGTATTAATGTTTGGTTAAAACAATGTGTGAATCGATGGATGAGTGGATCAGATGTGGTGACAATCAGAAGACAATCACTTGAATGTCATTCACAACAACACCAATGAATGGCACAAAACCTTTGCCTTTAATATAACAACACTTTTTGGCTTTGATTTCAACACAAATACTGTTTATTATATTTACACCAAAAACCATACAAAACACTCAATACGACAACTCAGACAACACTCACAGCGCATGCGTCACATCACAAACCCTATGACTCAATCGATTCACTGCCCACTCATACACTATACACAACATATAGTGTACACAACACTCATCGCAATCAATACAATCACACATACAATACAATTCAGTCACACTATTGTCCACTTTGTGTACAAATGTATACTATATTTGTTTTAATACACAATAACTCGTTATAATGAACGCTGAGTTCAGATGTTTCTGGCGTTCATTATATCTCTCGCACACTGTATGCACACAAAGGGGCCGTCAATAGGGGTCAGCACCTGATGTAATGGTAACGTTGTTTGTGACGAGTGCTCACGGATTACATCATGTATTGGCTGTAAATGTGTTTCGCAAACAAAACACTCATTTGTTTTGACATCTCTTGAGCTATGGATCAGACGATTGACATCACTGTCACCGAAGAGGACACAACACTTCCTCCACAACACTATGAATGTGAGTCCACTCTTGTGTCCACTCGTGGATCAGATGATGTGATAATTAGTGCTAATGTGTTGATGTGTTGCAGACTTGGATCACACGGCGGACGTCCAGTAAGTGCTGTCATGTCTTGAGATGATGTGATCTAACCATATGTTTGTATTGACCACAGAATCCACGCCTGTATGTCATTACATGTCACAACTCGTGAGTCGATTGAATGCTAACAACTTGTGTCCACTGGACTAATAGGGGGCACGTCTTTGGCCGAAGCCTTTGAACAGTCGGCGGTCGCTATGTTTGGATACATGACTGAAATACAAACCGTGGACTCGACTGTAGACACGATAGACATCGAGTGCTCCGGACATGACTTGCATTCACTGTTTTATCAATTCTTAGACGAATTCCTCTTTGGCTTCTCTGCCGAACCCTTCTTTATAGCCCGGGTTTGAAACACTCACTCAATGTGTCATTCATTTTGCGTTAATTGCCATTCATTTGAATCCATTTGATTGCATAGAAAGTGAAAATCTTAGAGTTTGACAGAGAGTCCCATACTATCAAAGCCAGAGGTTATGGCGAGACATTCAATCTCGATCATTCATTTTGCGTTAATTGCCATTCATTTGAATCCATTTGATTGCATAGAAAGTGAAAATCTTGTCGTTTGACAGAGAGTCCCATACTATCAAAGCCAGAGGTTATGGCGAGACATTCAATCTCGATAAACACCCACAGGTTTGTTACCCCTATTGTCAACACTGTTGGCAACACCTCATACCTCCTCATCCATAAGCCTAACCAACATTTGAATTGTTGACACAATTGTTGCGTTCATTTCACTGATTACTGATTTGTTTCATAACCCCTGAATAGGGGACAGAAGTGAAAGCCATAACGTTTTCAAATATGCAAATCCACGAGAAAGTCGGCCGAAGCGATGTCTACGTTATCATTGATATCTAGTTTTGGTTATCAAATGATATATTTTTGTAATAATGTTTAATTATACACCTTATCCTCGATTTAGGGAAATGATTGGTGAAACAGAAATGTGTCTCTTAAATCGAATTCTCCTTATATCGAGTCTCATATAAATTCAATGAAAAACAGCAAATATAGGATTAAATTCGTGTTTTATTAGATAAAGTTGTAATTAATTCATATAATCAGTAATTTTAGTTTGTTTTAAACACTTTTGTCTACTAGAATAGATTTCATTCTCTAATTTATTAATTAATTCAAAACTCATATCAGAGCCATTAGTGTTTGACATAAATTTCCTATTAATGGTATCTCTTTGGGCACAAAACTTATAAATGTTTGACATCTTGAGACCTTCAGTACTAAATTGTTTAATTATCTCTTGATTTGGACACTTTTTGTCGACTGATTTAATCACTTTATACTTATTCTCTAATGAAAATCTATTTCGAGACCTTTTGTCAGCCATTTTTAAGGCAAAATGTGTTTTTATGAAAATAATCTACACTTTTATGCAAAACGTGTTTTCATTTATTGTTTTTGAAATAAAATTTGCTTAAATAGAGTGCAGCTGTGCTGTGCGTGTAGTAAAGTATGTCTCTTATATCGAGTTTTGCTTAAATAGAATTTTCCTTATATCGAGTGGCACAATGTTAATCTCTCATAGGAGCGGTCGGTGCAGCAAAATACCCTCTCTTAAATCGAATTAGCCTTATATCGAGTCTCCCTAAATCGAGGATAAGGTGTATTACAATTTGGATTTAAATTGAATTGAATATTATTTTTAATTTAAGTTTATTGCAAACGTTGAGCTCAAGTTATGTGTGTTTATTTATAACCACATGATAATCAAGAATTTATGATCACTTTTATATAAGTTATAATTTTACATAATTTAACATGTTTTAATTTATTTAAAACCCATTGAATAATAGAATTACATTTTATTAGTTAAATTAAAATTCACACAATTTTTACGAAGATTATAATAAAAACAAGATAATTATTATCTGAAATACATGGTCTGATTTAACCAAAATTGTATTACTCTTAGCCATCGCTTGTATTTTTATTTTAAATTAAATTGATTTGAGTGACAGTCGGTAATCACGTGTGGTTTGGGAAACAAGTATTTTCACAATTACTGCCACGGAGTACACCAATAGGGAAAGTATTGCCACCAATAGACTACAATGTAGTTGCAATGCAATTGCATTTATGTCATAATTAGTTTCCCTTGCAATGCAATTGCATTGGAAATATTTGCAAAATTATTACACTGTTATATTTCAATTTGCCAACCATGACAATTCTTTAAACATTTATTCTTAAATTAAAATTATTCTTAAAATGCATCACTATGATTGTCAAATGGATTAATGTCTCATCTATATAAGCAGAGAATCGCAAAATAGTTGTTTATTACACCCCTAATAGTCAATGTAATAGTTAGTAAAAAAGGAGTCAAATAGTTGCTTATTACTTTGCAATTTTCAATATAATTACATAAATTATTCATTAAATCAACGGTAACACTAGTTTTAAGCAATTTTCAGTGTAAAAACATGAATTATTATACTATAGATTTTGAGTTACTAAAACTTTTTTTAATATTAATTGTTAAATGTTGTTGAAATTCTAATGCATTGTCTGAATAATGAATCTCAAGAAAAGACATTTAATCTACTTTTGACCGCCGCTTCCCGACGGGGATTGCGTGACATATAATCTAATAAATCATATGTGAATGGAGTATCTTCTGTACATTGTGTATAAATAATTGTCAAAATACATGTAAATGGTATGTATTGAGTGAATAATATTCACTTTTAGAATTTTCTCTATTGTGGACAATGACCAAAATGAGGCATTAACTTACAATTTGTTAGTGTTACTGTATCAATAATCAATTATCATGTCAAATAATCCTAGTCTAACTAAAACTTTTAAGTGTAAGTTATACCATAAATGGTCAATATTATGGATATTGCATTATATTCAGAACAATGTTGAAATTGATCATCTTTAATTTAACTCGTTGCTCAACTAATTGTTATGTAAAGCTTTATCAATAATAGCAGTCTTTGTTGGTTGTGTCCGCAAAACCATTACAAATAACAATTATTTTTCGATCACTTCTTTAAAGTATTGTTTGAAAAGTGATATTCAATTCCAACATTTAAACGATCGCTTCAGACATGTCTTTATTATTTAAAAAACACGGAAATATTTACAGAAAATGTTTACATAAATTAACATAATATTGGCTGTCATTCTGCCTAAAAAGTTCGTACATAAAAAGCAAAACATGCCATTTTTACTGTAAACTTTGTAACTTTAACTTCGGTTTGTAATCAGTGTTTCTTAACAATGTTAGCTTAAATTATAAACTTATTTTAAAATAATTTATCTTAAGTAAAAGTTACATAATATCAAAGGTTTGAAATCTATTATTAAAAAGAGCTTAACTAATCGATTCGTTAATATTAATATTATTGATTAAATTTTTATACAAAAAAAATTTAACACTTATTACCGGTTATATTAAAGTGAATAAAGAAATATTATTTTAAACTTATTTAAAAAATATTAATATATTGATAAGAATTGATAATAAATATTACTGAAAGCTTTGATGGGATGTGGATATTAACCGGCGATCACTGTCTGACAGAGTTTAGTGGACTTGTGTTTTGGTTAGTATTGCGATCACTGATCACCTGTTGGCGAAGGAATGCATTGGTATTTTTGAAAGTGAAACAAGTCCTCAGGTATTGGGTATTACAGACATTATAACCTAAAGGCTTGGATTCAGTGCTGTTTGAGTGCACACGGGATGGCTGTGGAGCTGTTGGTGAGGAGAGCAGTGGGGTATTTGTAGCTGAGCTGAGCCCTCACAACCACTGCCTTCAAAAAGCAAAGGCACTCATCAGATAACTATCAGTTGCTGTATAGGAGTTGTTCAGCAAGTTTTGTGCCTTAAAAAGTGCGAAATACTTGTGAGACATAAATAATACGGATTCCTGAATAATATTTTGGACAAACATTGAATACAATGGCTGCCAAAGCCATCATCGCTTGGTTTGTATCCATTCACAGCATATTAACGGCAGTGAATCGATTGGAGTCGGTTCTGGTCGACGCCGTCTCTCCCGTCTCTTTCTATGCGGACAATCGCTTCGATCAGACCATTGCTTATAAATATTTGCCGTCAAATGATCGCAAAGAAATGCAAACCGAAATACTCAGTCTTCTGGGCCTTCATCACAGACCCAAACCTAGATCTCATGGTTAGTGTCCCAGACATCACACACTTCACACTCTCTGTCAACACTTTACTAACAAAAAACTTTTTCTCACTCTTTTTTGGTCGCATTATAAGCTAATATTAACACCATTTGAAAATAATACACAAGTTTGTGATATTGTTATGACAGATAAGCTTATTATGACATTAAATTTGTGATATACTTATAATATTCCGTTATAAATACTTTTTAATTTAGAAATTTACAAAATATGTTTTTAAAAATAACACAATTTGCTTGTTTGTCAACACATATAGTGACTGAGAACTCGGCCCCAAAATATCTAATAGATTTGTACAAATCGTTTCTCGATGAAGATAGCGGTAATCTGAAGATAACAAGCAGTAAAGCACCGGTGGTTATCGAGGGGGAAGTGCTCAGCAATAATAGCCTAAACGCTATTAACGATTCCGATATTATCATGAGTTTTGTGAATCAAAGTGAGTGCTGAGAGAGAGAGAGAGAGTATTGGCAAACAAATCGACTATAATTTATACGTTTAATCCATTTTCAAACATACAGTTCACCGAAAGGCACCGCATTTGCGACACGACAGGGACAGGAGGTTCTGGTTTGATGTGAGCGAAGTATCGCCCGAAGAGACCCTAATGGACGCCGAACTGAGACTGTTTCGCGACCTAACGGACAGTAGTCTGCCGTCAAACCTGACATATCATTTGACTTTATATACACTCTCAGAGGGAGACGATCCACAGTTCGTATAACTTTTCTTAATTGCTTTGCATTTTTCGTGTTTATATAGCGTAACATTTATAGTCAAATAATTACTTAAATACTGTATTATTCTAATAGCACTTAAATTACATGTAAGAGTAGGCACTGCCGTCCCCTCCACACCCTTTCCCTTCACTTTTACCTTATATTACACATTAACGATGCCTATGGATAATGTCATTGCATAAGATATATTACAGTTGTCGTCGAAGTATAGGACCATAATAGCGGACAGTTTGGTCGGAGCGCAACAGGGCTTAGGAACGTTATACGGGTTCATGAGATGTACCAGCGTTTGGACGATCGCATGATTGGTGGCATTCATGTGTGCGTTGAGCGGAAAACTGCACTCACCGTCGCAGAAGAAGGCCGCGTAACCATCCGGTGCTATAATCCAGTCCTATATATATATGTTTGACATATAATTAACGGTTGAATGCAATTCATTAGATATAAAATGAAAAAGTTTTTCTTTAGGAAATAAATTTGATTTAAAATATGGTAAAAGTGGCAGAATTAGAGTTTTTGTCGCTGAAAGCACTTTAAGGCAACTCTGCATTCTTGCCGTCTTAACAATTTTGTGTTTACTTCAAAGAATTTCATAATCAGTTTTAATATTATTATTTGATTAGTAGTTGACATCANTTTTCAATATAATTACATAAATTATTCATTAAATCAACGGTAACACTAGTTTTAAGCAATTTTCAGTGTAAAAACATGAATTATTATACTATAGATTTTGAGTTACTAAAACTTTTTTTAATATTAAAATTTGTCATATGAACAAATGTGAACATAAAATCCCTAATAGTCAGTTGTAACTACAGTATATTTCTATTTGAAATATGTTGAATGTGCATTTTAATATAATTCTTTTTTGATTTAATGCATATTTTTCACCAAAAATTAACTAAAATATTTGTTAGACTAAACTCTTAGTCAAATCAAACTTTATTGGAATTGTTGTCAACAATAATTTGGTTCATAACAATCCATTATAAAAGTAATTACGTTTAGTTGTTTATAGAGGAAGGTCAAATAGTTATTTATACGGTAGTTAAAATAAAAATTTCCTAAAATGACCCTAATGGAATTATCGGTGGACATACCCAACTCTCAAGCTAATTCTATTAACCTCTACAGTAGTTACTATAGTTGATTTGCGACTCTGTATACATGTTATATGATATAACGAATTATGACAATTTACAACAACTTTAAGATTACGTAACAGACTTATTACTTAGAGTTCTTTTCTGTAAATTAGATGAAAACTGGCGGCGAAGGGCTGCCCCTAACGCACTGTATATTAGATTATTTAGTATACATAATGGAGTATCTTCTGTGCATTGCGTATAAATAATTGTCAAAATACATGTAAATGGTATGTATTGAGTGAATAATATTCACTTTTAGAATTTTCTCTATTGTGGACAATGACCAAAATGAGGCATAAACTTACAATTTGTTAGTGTTACTGTATCAATAATAAATTATCATGTCAAATAATCCTAGTCTAACTTTTAAGTGTAAGTTATACCATAAATGGTCAATATTATGGATATTGCATTATATACAGAACAATGTTGAAATTGATCATCTTTAATTTAACTCGTTGCTCAACTAATTGTTATGTAAAGCTTTATCAATAATAGCAGTCTTTGTTCGTTGTGTCCGCAAAACCATTACAAATAACAATTATTTTTCGATCACTTCTTTAAAGTATTGTTTGAAAAGTGATATTCAATCCCAACATTTAAACGATCGCTTCAGACATGTCTTTATTATTTAAAAAACACGGAAATATTTACAGAAAATGTTTACATAAATTAACATAATATTGGCTGTCATTCTGCCTAAAAAGTTTGTACATAAAAAGCAAAACATGCCATTTTTACTGTAAACTTTGTAACTTTAACTTCGGTTTGTAATCAGTGTTTCTTAACAATGTTAGCTTAAATTATAAACTTATTTTAAAATAATTTATCTTAAGT